AGAATCTCTACTCTACCGCACTTCGCTTGTTGTCGAGACTGAAAGGTCATATTTCGCATTATTCATGAATCTACTGACATGCTGCAGTGAACAGATCCATCCGGAAGCTGCGCCAGGGACGCCTCACTCCCTCTATAGCCGTCAACGCCTGGGTATTTGAACCAGCGCTTACCACCCTGAGTTTCCTCCAGCGCCCCACGCTCTTGCGCTACCTTCCCCAGGTGCGCCTTGATCATACGAATTGTATGCGCCACCCTGGTTATACGCACCATAAGATCCTGGCCGGGGCTGTTGAGCCGGCGGCTGGCCATAGCCTCCAGGAGCAGGGTAGTTTTCGTACCCTTGCTGGTAGTTTGTAGGGACCGTGTAGCTAGGCTCCGCACCTTGACCTCCAGAGTACTGGCCTTGACCCCATCCATATCCGCCAGATGGCACTGCGTTGCTGTACTCAGCAGGCGGCTGGTATCCTTCACCTGCGTACGAGGACTGGTAAGGTTGGAAGTCAGCCCACTGCGAGGGCTGAGGCGATGGCGATGGCTGGTATGGTCCTGGTGCTGCCAAAGAGGACGCCGAGGGTTCATCGTCCATGTCACGAGTTCTTCCAGAGCTGCCGCCGAAGCTGCTGAGCATACCGCCGAGAGGGCCGGGAAGTTTGCTCGTCAATGAACCTAGGAGGTCGCCGGATCCGCTAGACTGCTGATGATGACCACCGCCACCACCACCGCCATGGCTGTGGCCGCCGAAGCTCGACATGTTAACTGCACCGTGGCTGTGACCTGCAGAGTGATCGTGGTCTCCGCTGTGGTTATGTCCAGCCTTTACAGATTCAGAAGACAGGATCTGGTTCAGGTCCTTTCCGTGGTAGTTGCGGGCCCATTGCTCCACGACCTTGAACATGTTGTTGTGTACCTCGCAGTGCGGATCACGAAGTGCTGGGTGATGGAACACGCGCATGCAGTCGTGCAGAACCTCGTCGACCGGCACATCCGGGTGGTCCCAAGCGTATATGACGCGGGGCGCGACGTATTGTAGGATAGCGACCGCGACTTGACCGGCTGGTGGGTTCAAGACGTTAGAGAAGTGATCCTTGGACAGCATGCTGTGTGTTGGGTTGGTGGATGTAGGGTCCGTCCAGACCTCAAACTGGTGCTTGGCCGCAGAGTCAATGACGGCAGAAGATCCGCTCTTCAGCTGGGACGATGCTGTCTTAATGATGGGCAGAATGAAAGGCGCAAGCAGTGATAGCACGAACAGAGTGACGCGCTCGGTGATGGTCTCAATCAGCTTCTCTAAACCAGGGATCTTGGAGACAATGGCCGAGATTTTGCGGACAACGTTGTCACGGAAAACTTGAAGAGGTCAGCTAAGGTCACGATCCTCCGTTCGCGAGGGGTCTTACCTAGAATTGGGTAAATCTTGGGGATAATTGTGGCTGGATCAGTGTTTGTTCCTGGGATGTCTGGTCCTGGTGGTCCGCCCATGGACCCAGGTGGTGCAGCGAAGTCGTTAGGTCCAGCCCTGGACGAGCTGTAATCGCCGTAACCACCTCGCGCGTTCTCTGCAGCTTGAGCATCTGACGAAGCCTGCAGACTCTGTGCTTGGCTGATGAGATCGCCAGTGCCGGGTACTTTACTCAGTACATCAATGAGTCCACTGCAGGCATTGGATTGGCCTCCAGGTCCGCTTCTCTGTCCACCAGACCCGCCAACTGCATCTACGAGAGCAGTGTTCACCTCGTCGATTTCGGTCTGAGTAATGTGATCATTGGCCTCTCCCAGTACCGAGTGGAAGAAGTCAACACCTCCGAACGTGCCTGTTACGAGAGGATAGGTGTGCTTTCCATGGAGGTTGATGCCAGCTTGGACGCCCACGTGAGGGAATACGTTGGTGTAGCCAAGTTCACGCAACACGAGTTCAGTGTAGTTGGTATGGGCTCCGAAATCTTCGAGGCAGTGCAGTCCTTGACCCAGACAGCGAAGCGCTTCCGAAAGGTCTTCGTCCCGACCACGTTGGCCGGACTGTCCGTGGGTGTAAAGTCGACCGAAGTGGATAGCGCGAGCAAAAGAGTACTTCACATATCCGGTCGAAGTAGCCCAGTTACCATGTTCGTTCGCGATATAGTTCTTCATACCAGTGTTTGGGTCTACTGCAAGCTCGGCATCTGAGACAGGACCTCGTAGACGAGGGTCGTATTTTCTCGCGTCCTCATTGTCGGCATAGTCTTTCTTTGAGAATGTCAGTGTTAACACATTCGTATGTCTGCAAACTGCAGTTGCTTACAGGGTTATCTGGGCTCTCGTTAGTATGACGAAGCAGAAGAGGCTCAAGTTCGCTTACCGATGTGTTCTTCGGGCCTATACACACCTAGCCTCTCGGCGGTGACCTCAAACTCTCCAGTTGCATAGCCAAAGGACATGAAAGACAAGACCCAGACCAGAACGCGAATAGTTTCTCCCTACGTCTTGTAAGCATGTCGATGGGGGAAATCGCTTCTGCTGCTTTCGCATACTTGAACTTTAGCCAACGTTCCAACATCAACAGCCTAAACCGGTCAGCGCATTCCGACGTCGCACAATCTGTTGGGCTTACTTGTGAGTAATCGCGTAGCCAATTTCCAAAGTACACACGCTACACGTAAGGTCAGTCGTCGTCATCACAGCTACATCGTCATATGGGCATACCTTGATCATGTTACTCTTCCATTTATGACCCTTCAAGCAAGCGACCGTCGCGAGCATATCTTCGATATCGCCATGACGCCAGTTCTTGCCCTCGATTTTCGATATCGACGCGATGTTTCCAGCACCGAAAGCGTCTGCGCCGGCTGGAAGTAGGACGAGGATGGCGATAGCGATAAGCAGCACGTACTGCGAGGAGACTCCCATGATCGCGGGATGTAGAGGGGAGATGAGGAAATGGAAGATGATTTAGCTCAGCGCAGTAAGAGTCTGCGATAACTGTTCGCTGGAGTCAGCTGCACTTACGTAGTGAAAGTGTGGCCCATGATGGCGCAGCAAATGACGCCACAATGCCCCACCTTCTCTCGGAAATCCGGCATGGAGGGGTAGCACAAGACCGAGCCCAACTCAGTTCCTTTTCCTTAGCCAACCACGGCAGAACAAAAGTCATGATGAAACCGCAGTATAATGGGAAGTCCTGGGAGCTCTAAAGAGGTATGTGGCCTTCTCGGTTTGCGCGTTCAATACTGTCATACACTGCGCCACGATTCTTCCTGGTGCAGGGTAACCACGCTTGGTCCGCTCACACCAGCCAAGCCAGGCAGGCACGTATGTGGGCATGATACAGCTCGGAATCTTCCGAGTTATTATCGCAGCATGTGTCACAATCGAGCTCAAGGATTCAAGATCAACCCAACTTCGCAACCAATGCCTGAGCCTTGCGTAACACTTCCCGATCCGTCTCAAAGTACAATAACCTCTCAGCCTCTTCATGGGAGTACAACCCCGTCTTCACCCCTTCTTCACCAGGCCCTTTCATCTCGCAAGCACCTTTGTCCATGATCGCGACGTACCACCATATAACCTTGACACCTTGACCATCTCTCAACGTCCGCATGGTGACCATGAAAGGTTCTACCGAGTCGCGTGAGATGCGTGCCACGTCTGGGGCGTCCGCCGCGTCGCCAGCGATAGTGGCTCTGGTCTTTATATCCACTGGCAAGATATGACACTTGTATCCAGTTTCCTCGTATACTTCGCGTAGTGCAGCTTCTTTACGCGATTCTCCGATGTTTCGTCGGCCTTTGGGTAGGGTCCATAGATCGGATACAAGGAGATGGATTAGGCAGATCTTCTGGCGAGTTGTATCGTAGAGGATGGCGCCGCAGCTTTCGACAAAGTTTTCTGAAGTACATTGCTGGGTTGGGAAAGCTAATTGTGCCATGATTTTGGTAAGGGAAGGGCCATGGGGATGTTGTTGACGAGAAGAAAGTCGACTCTACGTCGATTGTAGAACTGATGCCTTGGCTGTGGCTGAATGATGATTGCTTCTGACCAATGAGACTACACTCTGAGTAGTAACCCGAACACCTTCACATCTATCGACCTGTATCTCCTGTCGCGTACTTCTATTCTTAGCCGTTAAGACTAGAGTCCCAAAGACCGCGGATACCTCCAGGGTACAGTTTAGCATGATTACAAAATATATCTGTCAGCGTCGGGTGCGCCCCGCACACAGAACACCACACAGAGTCAGAGGGCCTTTAACTCTTCACCCGAGTGTGACTCTTCAAGATAATAGTCCAAATCACGCTAACCTATTACAAACAACCTATCCCTATCTAAGGTAGCATGAGATTGTCATAGGGCGTAACACTATATGAAGAAGAAGAAGAAGACGCGCAACATCTGACATCTAATAACATCAAATAACACCCAATAACACCCAATAACACAACTCCTACACGCCATGCTATCCATAGACAAGATCACCATCCTCCCTATCCCCTGGGACCACCCAGACAGCATCCACCTCCGCTCCAAACAACAACTCGAGATAGACGACCCAGACTACACAACTCCGCCCTCAGCCGCCGACGTCCCCCTCTTCCTCATCGCGTATCATGAAGGCATCCCAATAGGCTGCGGCGGTCTACGTCCTCTATCTCCTTGCTCAGAAAACGCACGAGAAAGGTCTGCTGAGATAAAGCGGATGTTTGTCGACTCGCCGTACCGAGTGGGATTAGAAGGAGAAGCCGGGCTACGCACATCCGTTGCGACAATGATACTCGAGAAGCTGGAAGAGGAAGCGCGGAGTAGGGGTTGGCCGTGGTTACTGTTGGAGACGGGTGAGCACATGCCGAAGGCGAGGCGGTTTTATGAGAGGTGTGGGTTTAGTCAGCGGGGGATGTTTGGGAAGTATGTTGAGGCTGAGGGGAGTGTGTGTTATGAGAAGTGGGTTGGAGGTTCTGCTTCTGCTTCGTAGGTGTAGAACAGCAAGGATGGCGAGTAAAGGAAGGAATGGCCCGAGTTCTGCGAATACTAGAGGTGTTCTCCACGCACGAACAGTGGCTGATGAGTCCGCTCCAGTGTATATACAACATTGCACACCTTGGGCCTATGAGTCACGGCATCAGCTCTGTCCTCATTCCGTACTTGCCAGTCCGCCTCATTGACCTCGCGCTTGTCTACTACACGCCACAAGTCGCCGGGGTGTGGGAACGCTGCTCCTTGGGGTATTACGTCCTTTGCAGCTGCATCTAAGAAATAGAATCGATCCTTGGAATAAGACAAAGCAATCCATCGTGCCCCCGGTTTCGTCACTAGCGCTAAATTCACAGCCATGACTACTAAGGGATGGATCAGCTCCGGGGTTTTGGCGGCATCCAGGTCTAGAGGTTCGTAGGAGCGGATGGCTAGTGGGTATGGCAAGGGGACTAGGACGTCGTCTGCGCAGGCAATGGAGTCGCATGTTGACTTGTCCACTATGACGGAGTAGGCTGCACGCTTGCATGCGCGCATAACGGACTGGTAGTCAAGCAGGTCTACGGCGTCCCAGCGCATGCATGCAGCTTCTCCTATGTCCTTTCGCGGATCCTGGTATATTTCCTGTTCCCGGATCTTGCCGACTTCAATCGCTACTTCAGAGTAGTCCAGATTGTGTATCTGTCGCGGTGCGTCTACATGGGAGCGCAAGTGGTAGGAAAGCAGTGATGTGCCGCAGCCTATGTGTAGAAGTTCCGGCTCGGGCGTGGGTGTCGCATCCAGGGCATCGACGATGTGGGGATCTAGGGCATTGGGGGCCTCTAGCCACTCGAAGGGGTCTGTATTCGCAGCGAAGCGCTCATTCCAATAAGCTTGCGAACCGAACGAGGGTGGCTGTTTAGAAGGCATTGCGAACTGGGAGGCATTGCATTAGAACTGGCTTCAGAACTATAGGCGTGATTAGTTGTCATATCTCCACTAACAGGCTCAAACGTAGATGGTATGGGTTTTAGGCGCGCGATATGCAACCTAATTGACGAGTACAGGAGTGATACCTGTATGGAGGTTTGTTGCGGTGTGTGAAAGTCTCGAGACGCGACGACGCCCAACCTTTGGAAAGATTAAATGCGCCGGTCCGAGCGTCCTCCGAGCCTCGATCATTTCTCATCACTCGGACTCCCGAGGCGACGAGACGACGAGTATCACCACCCACAGCCATGGCCAACCTCCAATCGATACCACGCTTTCTCCTGCCCCGGGGCCCTCTGCTCCTGCGACCCCAAGCCCGCGCATTCCTCCCGTTACCCTCCCCCACGAGCGCCCGCCATGCGTCCATTACCCCCAAAGGTCTCTCAGAAGAATTCCGAAGACGGCGGGAAGCACAGCAAAGCAAAGGAGCACCCGTAATACCACAGCCCGACAAATACCGACCGCCATCGCACAGCAAGCGCGCCCCGAACCGCAACCTCGAGAACAAGATCTATGGCGCGCCCGTATCCGAGGAAGACAAGAAGCGCATGGCGACGAAGAAATACCCCAACATGATGAGTCCCGAGGGCACCTTCTCGCATTGGTTCCTGCACAACCGGGCCATCCATCTCTGGATAACAATGGTACGATTCCCTCTCCAATGCCACCCAACCACCCCAAGCTAACCCCGCTCTCCCCACAGGGCATACTCGTCTCCCTCGCCATAGCAGCATGGTACATGGACTTTATCTCCAAGACCGTCTTCGCCCACTTGCTCCCCTCGCGCAAAGATTTCCTGCGACATCCCTTTGAATCGTCGTCGAGATTCATTGAGGTCTACAAGATGCATATGGAGCAGACGTCGCAGCAGTACCAGCAGCAGAGGCTGAAGAAGGCGGAGGAGGTTGAGAAGAGGAAGCAGTATCGGTTGGAGAGGATGAGGGAGGCTGAGCTGAAGGGCGAGGAGTATGTCGAGGATCCGAGGTATTATGTTGGGGAGGATGGTGTTAGGCGGAGGAGGGTTAAGAGGTGGTTTGGTATCTGGGAGTGATGGTGTGGATGAAGCTTCCTGATAAGGGGAGGATCTCAGAGGCATATCTGTGGTGTGAAGTAGGCCGCGCAATGGCATACGGCAGTGTAGGATTGCGTGATGAACGGCATCGAGTCGCGCAACGCTGGTGGGGAAGAGGTCGGCGAGATGACGTTTGAACCCCAGCTTCATTGAAGAGCTGTGGGTAATTGGTATTACGAGACATGTACATGAAGGTGTGTATACTAGATGGGTGAATCCCGTTCTTCAAGAATCGACAGTTCAAGGACATCTCCTTTCATTTCAACATTGCAACATTTCAAAAGTCTCGACTCTCTACGACTGCATATCACCCTCTTCCTCCTTACTCCTCCCAAACCAGACCTCATCCTCCGGACCCATCCCCCTCTCCACCCCCTCCACCCCACACAACCCCTCAATTTCTGCTGGTACCTCCCAGTCCCTCATCCCCTCCACCCTCGTCGCAAACACCATCCCCAACCCCGCCTCAGCATGCCATCCCACGTGACAATGGAAAAACCACAAGCCCGGATTATCCGCCACAAAGCTTATCAACAACCACCCATACGCCTCCACACTCGCCGTATCCCTCCTTAACGGATTCGTTACATTTATGTGGTCGTCAACGTGACTAGGGGAGAGCAGAGTAGAAGGCGGATACCCGTGTCCCTGAGCCAAGACGAAGAATTTGTAGCCGTGCAGGTGGAAGGGGTGGGTTCCGTCATCGAGATTCTGTATCAAGATCGTTATGGTGCGTGTGGATTTGGTTTGGTAGATGAGCTGGTGAACTGAGTCGAAGGGGTGTGTGTCTAGTATACCCTCTTGCGTCTTCATCTCGGGGGTTTGTGTTGAGAGCAAAGTGTTTAGAAGCGGTGATGTAGCATTGATGCGGAAGGAACTGTCATTCAGATACCCGCGCGAGAGCCTCCAGTCGCGGATTTGGAACGAGGAGCGCAGGTAGAGGGTGTGCTGAGGATCGCTTTCTGGGGCTGGTACTGCGATGACGGGGGCTAGGGTGGATGTGTTTAGATCTCGACATTCTACGTCGATGATCTCGGGCCAGTCTTTGCTTGTTGGGATGAGGTTTTTCGGGTCCTCGTCGTCCGCAGATGGATAGTATAGTACGCCTCTGACTTCTTCTTGTAGTTCTGGCCCTTCATATGCGAAACAGTGGGTTATCATCCTCGCACGCATCCAGTACATGCCTTGGTTTTCTTCCTCTTTTGGTGGCGTCACGATGATACTGTATCGTTGCGCCGGATTGATGTTCAGTCGATGGATAGACTGGGAGTGCACATCCGTGCCATCGACTTCTGTGACTTGGAACTCGTGTTCATCGATTTGTAAAGCAAATTCTGCGAATGCTCCGACGTTGATGATGCGAAGTCGCGTGTTGCTGGTACGAGATAGGTTGAACAAGGCATTGCTGATGCCAGATGAAGAGCAGTTTCGATTCGGCAAGTCGGCGCAGTCTCGCATGTTCCTTCCGTTGATCAAGGCGGATGGCGGAACGGGTTCGTCGTTCTCGCTACCTGGGGCGAGGTACTGCATGAGTAGGTCGGAAGAGAGGTCGTAGTAGTAGTCTGATACCATGACTACGCGGTCTTGCTCGTACGGCACCTTTTGCAATTTATCTTTCTCTTTCCCTCCCCTGGCATGGATGATGAGAGGTCCCACCAAACCATCTGACGCCTGCATGCTAACGTGCGAATGGTACCAGTACGTTCCTGTCTGCCCTGATACGTTGAATCGGTATGTAAACGAGTGGCCTGGCGCAATAGGGCATTGAGTCACACCCACCGTTCCGTCCATCCAATTCGTGCCATTTTGATAGAGACCGTGCCAATGGAAAGAAGTAGCATTGATAGCTTGGTTCTGAACATTAATAACAAGCTCGTCGCCTTCGTTGCACTCAATAAGCGGTCCAGGAAAGGTGCCGTTGATGAGTATCATGGGTCGATACACGCCATCTGGGCTGAGAATGTGATCGGATACTACCCATGTATACTCTCGGGTCGTAGGTGGTGCGTTGAAATCCCATGATGAGGAGAGTATGTAGTCTTCTTCCGGTCGAAGTCTTGCAGGATGAGCATCAAGGGAGGGGGATGTATCATTCCGGGTACTTGTCAGACCCCGATACACCAGGGCTATGACTGTACATATAAGAAGCGAAACGACGGTCACGGGCCTGATCCATGGCCACCGATGAATGTGATGGTGTGAAACGTCGTGCTTGTCGCTCCAGCGCGGTTCCAACTCGTTTTCTTGGTCTTCGCTGCTTCGAGATTGGGAATCGTCTGTGGGTGCATGCAGCAAGCCAATTTGCTCTTCAGGCTTGTGCATGTTCGATTTAGACATCTCTTTCATGCCGAAGCTTTGGTTGCGGCCCATCGCGGTTAGCTTCCAAGAGACCTCATCAAGTCCCTGCCGGTATAACCAAAACGTGGTTCAGGGTATATATGTAGCAGTAATTGTTCTTGTTTGATGTTTGGCAATTTCCGTGTCAAGCACCCCGTCGTCCCTGCGTCGGATCTGATCGTTGTAACGTGCCATCTCGTTCAAGGAGCCTCTGAACACGACCGCCACCACCAGCCAGCCGCTGCACGGGTCCAGAAGATCATCACGCTACGCCACCCCACCTGCAGTGTCACTGGTGTCAGGTGTGGCCATACCTTGGATCTGCGGGTCGTACCAGGTTTGCCGAGTTCGTGTCCAATCAGCCCCGCACGTTCATCTCTCAAAGCTATCTAAAGCTTGTCGACCTTCCTAAAAAGCTTATCCTCCCGCATCGATGCGCGAAGTACTCTCCCCAAGAATGCGCACATGTGCGCTGCGAAGAATGTCATTGGTGGAGATGTGACGGCTATACTGCAGGTCGTCCCAGTGATGTCCAGACCCTTAGGCACTACCTAGCGGAAGCGGCGCCTCATGACCCTGGCAGATGGGATGAAAAGCCCTGAGGAGAAACTTCATGTATGCCTGCTTCTGTCATTTCATCCGGCGTTTCTCCGTTGTCTTGACGTTCCTTGGTAAAGAGATATTGTGGTAGAAGGAGCCGAAAGGGCGTGCTAACCAAAACAACAGATTTGTCTAGCCATCATGATTACTCCACTCGTTTCATCTCTAGCACTTCTAGCGACCCTGAACCCCGTACAAGCCCAAAGCACATTTCCAGGGAAAGCCTTCGACCGTATAGCCATAATATGGCTTGAAAATACCGATTACGACCTCGCAGCAGGAGACCCAAATCTTGCATGGCTCGCAAAGAAAGGCATCAGCCTCACGAATTACTTCGCAGTAACCCATCCTTCTATGCCCAACTATGCAGCTGCCATTTCAGGCGACTACTACGGCATCAACCACGATGACATGGTCGCTATTCCCTCCAACGTATCCACCTTGGTAGATCTCCTCGAAGACAAAGGTGTTAGCTGGGGCGAGTACCAAGAAGACATGCCCTCAGTAGGTTTCCAAGGGAAATCGTACACGAACCCCAAAACTGGAGCGAACATGTATGTTCGCAAACACAACCCAGCTGTGCTGTACGACTCAGTTGCGCAAAAGACGGAGAGGCTGGCGAAGACAAAACCCTTGACCATGTTCAAAGAAGATATGGACAAAAACCAGTTGCCGCAGTGGATGTTTATAACGCCAAATATGACGAGCGACGGTGCGTATTAAAGACATTCCGTGCGTTCCCGTAAAAACATACTCACACCCACAGGCCACGACTCCACCGTAACCGTAGCAGGAACCTGGACGCGCAACTTCCTCGAACCCCTGCTCACCAACAAGAACTTCATGAACAACACCCTCGTCATGGTAACCTTCGACGAGAACCATTCCTACGGACAGCAAAACCGCGTCGTGGCCATACTGCTAGGCGATGCCGTGCCCGCCAGCTTAGTCGGCACCACAGACAACACGTTTTACAACCACTACAGCGAGATCGCCACTGTACAGGCAAACTGGGGCTTACGCACACTGGGCCGATGGGACGTGGGCGCAAACGTGTTCAAATTCGTAGCGGAAAAGACGGGCGATACGGTGCGAGCTTGGTCGGGTAAAGTTCCGTTGAGCAACATGTATTTCAATGCGTCGTATGCGGGGAAGCTGAGCAACAAGAACAAGTCGGTTCCTTGGCCTGTTCCCAACACGGAGGCGGTGTATGCAGGGCGGGCTGTGTTGCCGGCTATTGCGGATACGTGGGGGAAGCAGGTTGGGCAGTCTGCGTATACGACTGCGTTGGAGATTCCGGATGGCATGCATCCGGAGGCTGAGTTCAAGTAGTCGCGCCCATGAGTAGAAATTTGAAGATAATCGCTTACATAGAGGAAGAAGTACCAATGAGTACTGAGCTATCGATTGATGGTACGCTTTGCAGTCACGCTGTAACTATAAAGCGTAACTGCAAAGCATACGATCAATCAATAGCCCAGTACTCATTGGTATCGACTGATCCGATATACATTAACCCTAGACTGGGCCATGCCCACTCTATATACCGCTGTCAACTAAACTGCCCATTGTCTGCGCGACGCCTTCTTTGCCTCCTCCATACCCTTGGCATCACGCCGCAACACAGCACCCACAACCTGTATCCTGCCCACATCTGCATAGGCGCCCTTCCCGATTTCCTCTGGCCATATATCGGGGTGTAGGATCGTGTACTCTGCAAGATCCGCGCCTTCTACTTGTTGCATTTTCTCCAAGAAGATGTCATGCCCAGGGTTGGCCGTGGGCATCGCGACACCTGTGTAAACGACGATAACACCAGTCGACGACAAGATCTTCATGCCTTCTTCTACGATGCGTATGGAGAGGTCGAGACCGAAGCCAGCGCCACCATCTGCGTATATGGGTAGATCCTCGCCGTCTGTACTCGATGCGATGTATGGTGGGTTGCTGACAATTAGATCCACACCATGGTGCTTCAGATCTTCAGGCACGGTCGCGAAAAGGTTTGACTCAGCAAAGCCCACCTTGACGCCCGCCAGCTGTGCATTGACACCGGCCAGACTCAGTGCACGCGGATTCAGGTCCAGCCCCAGCGTCTTTGCCTGCGGATATGTCCTCGCCATGTGTATCGCGCCTGCGCCAGCTCCGCAGCAGACGTCTACGATGCTGCTGGGTGCGTGTGGAAGGTGTCGGGATATGGTTTGGAGGAACCCGACAAAGAAGTATGTGTCGGGGCCGCAGAAGACGGAATCGGACGACGCTGGGAAGGAAGAGTGGATGTAGTATAGCGAGGAGACATCAGGATCGCGACTCGGGAGGTTGGGAAGGTACAGGTTGGATACGCGGATGGTGGAGCGGTAGCTTTTGTCGTCATTCTGTGTGATGACGTCGGCTTTGAGGAGGCTTTCGAATATGTCGTCGGGTATTATCGATCGCAGTGCTTCTCTGTGAGGTTATTAGTACTGCAAGATACCCGATACCTCTTCCGTAGACGGCAAACAGTGAAATGTATGACCTACCTAGTACATGACAAGTTCCACCCAAAGAAGTCGTACGCGTTTTGGGCATCTTCCGTCGCGACATTCGAACGTCTTTTCTCCACTACCCTGCCCTGCGTCTCTGGCGACGGACACACAAAGACGTACTTCTGCTTGGCTAGATGTTTAGTCAGGGCCTGGTAGGCGATGGTAGTTTCCGGCATGGTTGGAGGAGTGCTACACGTTTGTCTCCGCGGGCGACTTCATGGCGCAACGCCTCTGTGACACAGCCAACATGTCCAAGTGTCAGTGCACATGGTACCAAGAGTTACCTGCGCCGCGGAGGACAAGCAGGTGTCAGTGTGACGTTGTTGTTAGTAATGAAGGCTGCGTGAAAGCCTTCGTGGATGTCGTGATCTGGCCTGATCTACCCGAATAAGAGCTGTTCTAGACGCGCAGTGCAGATTGCATGCAAAGAACCATCGCTTTTTCCTGTCGCTTGTCGCATCGCTTGCAGTTAATGGACAGATTGATGTCGCGAAGACGTTAGCTCCCACGCGGACGGATCGCGCGCTTTGTGGGGTACGCTTGGCCTAGCTGCAAGCAGTCTAGTGCCAGATGTCGTCACGGATCCATTCCCCGGCGATGACATCGACATCTCAAACGACACCGCTGCGAGGTGTTCATCGTCAGCATGATCTACTGTGCGTGTTTGCCTGGGGGCATATGCTTCGCCACAGCTGCGCTAGGAAAAGTCAAAACCCATGTGCTACTTCATAGCTGGAAGAATGGATTACTATTCACACCAAACTCACGCCTGCACATTACGATAGATTACTCATAATGTTTATTCTACAGACTACTACAGCTGTACTCATTGCGTTTCTTGCAGTCATTGCCTACAATGAAATTCGAAATCGTCTTGCGAAAGGACGATCAAGAAGAAAGGATCTTGAAACCCCAGGCAGCCCAACCATACCCGCCACCAACGATGCCAAACCACCAGTGGATGACGGGACTTTGGAGACATCTCCCACCATTCAGACGTACCACTCAATCGATCCCGAGCTGGAGAGATACAAGCAGCTTTACTACAGACTCCATCATCTCGAACACCACCCCAAAATTCTACCAGAGTGTCGCGAGCTTCTCTTTGGTCTCCTCTCGTCAACAATCGCCGACGCAGCCAAGGAACCTTACAGCGGGATCCTAACCGTCGCAGAGTTCTCTCGCGATGGATTAGATGAGTTCCTCAAAGCCAAGGACGTCGACGTCACCAACCGCTGGGAGGAGTACCTTACGCGTCGCAGAGCCGGTGGATCCCGCGAGATGTTCAGTGACAAGGAGGAAGCGAAGTGGTGGCTCAAGCAAGCAGCACCAGTCAAGTACGTCGATGGCGCATGGCTTGGACACATCAACAAGATTAGCACGCCATTCAAGTACCGTCAAATCACCAAGAATGCCTGGCAGGTCATGTCCGAAGAACTTGGGGACGGCGATCTCGCAAAGAATCATGTCCATGTGTATCGAGAACTGATGGAGGACATCGAAGCTGGACTTCCCGCTGCCGATTCGGAAGACTTTATTCATCCCCGTCACGATCTGACTGAAGCACGCTGCTGGAAAGCCGCCATGGCACAGCTCACCATCTCCTTGTTCCCCCACGAGTTCCTTCCAGAGGCTTTGGGCTTCAACATGGCGTACGAGAGTCTGCCGCTCCACTTGTTGAAGACCGTCAAAGAACTTCGCGAACTTCGACTAAACCCCTACTACTTCGAGCTTCATATTTCCATCGACAATGCCGATTCGGGTCACGCTGCGATGGCAATGGCTGCAGTTACCAACTACATCGAGTTGGTTGCAGAGCAAGAAGGGGAGGAGGCGGTGCGTATTGCGTGGAAACGCGTACAGGCTGGCTACATCCTCGCTGAGGGCTTGCCTACGACTCCCGAAAGT